CGTCAGGTCAGCAAACATTAAAAAGCTGCTGCTGGAGGTGAACCTGGTGCTGCCACTCTGGAAACCAGTGAGGCATTTTTCTCATGAGGTTAAAGATACGTGTTCCCTTTAACCAAGCACGTGCCTTCACAGATACATTTCTCAGAAAAAAGTCTACCATAAGCCTTTGTTTAAACAGTTTTGGCTGACTGTACAATTTTAGGTGGCCGTTTTACTCCAGCGCCTTGAAGTGTTGGTACCACCACATTCTGCTTCCCCCCTCTTGCTGAGAAGTGAACTGCAGGTCTCGCTGGCTCTTCAACCCCACTCTGCACCCTCCCCCAGCTGATTCTAGGATTTCTCTCCTGTAAGCATCACTCCCGATGCTCTGTAATGGTTGATTTGGGTTCTTGAAATCATGAGTCGGACTCATAGCCAAAGTTGTTTCCATTCATCCCATGCCTGTGTTTTCGCTGGTGTGTGAAAGTCACATTACAAACCCTCCACAAAGCCCTGCACCTGTCTCCCCCTTCCTACCCAGCAGGCGCACCCACTTAACTCCCCGTTACTGTGGTAACGAAGGCTCTCCTCAGTCTTTCTGCCGCCTGACCAATCCTGGTGCTTCCTCGTGTGGCCCTGCGTGGTGTGATGGGTCCCTCTCCCCTCCTTTTTGGGAGCTATTAATAATAAATTCTCCTTTCAAGGCAGTAGCCTGTGTGCATGCCGTCTTCGCTGACCTGATTAGGACAGAATCCAGGTACACGCTGATTCACCTGTGCCGCGCTGTTGTCCTTGAGATGCTTGAATCTGCGGATCGGTGTCTGTCATCGGCTCAGAACATTTCTCAGCTACTTTCCCTCCAGATTCAGTCTTTATTGTGTCTTCTCCCTGTAGATCTGTGGCTCTAACTGACTGAGAAAAATGCACAATGTGAGAATTGTGAGTTAAGTTTTATTTGGGGCAAAATGAGGGCTGTGACCCAGGAGACAGCCTTTCAGATAACGCTGAGGAGCTGCTCTGAAGAGACGGGGAAGGTCAGTGTATGTGTGATTTTAGTGACGGGGGTACGTGCAATCACACGTGCATTTTGGCAGAAGGTCTTGAGGAGGAGATATTTCCGTTAATGATTTTAGTGCTTTTCTAGACATGAGAAGATGCAAGAATTTGGGCTCCTAAAATCTCCTGAAAAATATCTAACTTCCTGAAGGCCTGTTCTGCCAGGTTTTCCCAGAGCACAGAGCACCTCACTCCTGATCTCCGCCCTGCACTCCTCTCAGGGTGTGTTGAGGTCAGTGACTGCAGGGGTTGTGACTTCATCTTCACAGAGGCAGGTGGCAAGTGGTAGTTTTTAGTTGGCACCCTGCGTTTTACCTTGCACTCTGTTCCCCAGGCATCACAGGGCTGACCTGAACAGAGCAGAGGATGCCAAGGAACAGGGGAAAAGAGAAGGTGGAAGAAACTGGCACAGAGGTGCCTCCCCTTGGAGCTGTGTGGCCTCCGGTGGAGCTGAGACCCAGAAGCTGTGCTTCCTGACAGGGATCCCGCCCGTCTCCCATGAACTATCCTATGGCCGGCAACACTCCTGGGCTAGCCTGTGTGGTCTCCTGTCCCAGATATCTGAACACTGTCACCTACTGGAGACAATGGAGACTCCAGGAGGCACATGGGCATGAGCCCCTCGGGTGGCTGTGAGAGTGTGGTGCTTCTGAGGTGACAGGGAACCGTCCCCGTGGCAACGAGGCACTTTCTGTGGCTCAGTGCAACTTCAAGAGCCCGTGAGTGTTACTGAGTCCCACGCCTGCCGCCCTCCAGCCTGCCCTGAGGGACACACACACGTCAAAAAGTCACTTTGTGCGTGCACAGTGGGCCTCACAAGTGTCTTCTCTTCCTTGTCCCACATCATTTCCCTCCCATTTCTATTTAGAAATCGAGAGAGAGAATCTAGGCCAGGTCATGCTTGGGAAACCACTGAGATTTTTCTTCCTTCTACTCAGTGCATATCTTTTACCTTAAAAAAATTTAAAACCATTAGGTCATCTTCCCCACCCCCTTTCCTTTTTTATTTCTGGGAAAATCTTCATTTTGTGTGTTTCTCAAGCATCTTGCCGTCTGTCTCAGAGGAGACCGGATCACTTCCTCCCAGTGGCTCTCAAAATTCCTGCTGGTTTTATCTCTTGCAAATGCCTTAGTGCTGCAAAGCAAATTCCGCCTCCCTCTGTCTCTCCACTGGCCTCTCCACGAAAAAGAAAGGGCCCCCGGCTCTCGGCTCTCGGTGAGGTCTTTCGGCAACCCAGATACATCCCCCCACCCCGCACCCGCCCCTTCAAAGGTGCCTCCTCCGAGCGCAGGCACCAGCCTCTGCCTGTTAACTCTTTCAAAGAGCGTTTGTCGGTGTGTGAAAGCTGTCTGGGTTCATTGATAAAAAAAGGTATTGTTTTGGGGGCTGCTGAATGTGTTAATGAGTGGTAGCAGGCAGTCCTCAGTGTCTGCAGAGGTCCGTGGTTACCTTTCACCTACTTGTTGCCTTAAAAGGCGAACTGATGTCTGGGGAGCGACGCCCCCGCCCCCTCCCCGACCAGCACACCCTCCATGGAACAGGCTGGCAGGCAGGATGCTAATTCTCCCCAAACCCCAAAGAGTTAAGTCCCAGTGGTTAATATTCCTCTCTTTGGCCCCCTTGTCCCGTATTCTAATGTATGAACTCCCGCCTTCAGATGTGAGCAAGCCGCATGTGCTTGCCGACAGCTTGCCTCCCCTGGGTGACATGGCTGGTCTCTTCTGACATGCTGGTAGAAACACAATTTTATAAACACTGAAGGCTCACCTCGACGTGGGCCTCTACGGGGCCAGGCACGTATTTGCAGCTCACGTTCCAAGAGGGGTTCACTTTGCCCCTTCCCGCCCGGGGATTCTCAGTCCGAGGTGAGAAAAACGAAGCAAGGTTATTAAGAATTCTGACAAGGTAGACTGAATAAATTGTGTTTTCTTTGTGAGCCTTAATCCGGTGTTGTATTGGCTTCTCGGACATGGCTAATTTATTTGGAATTTCATTCTGTTCCTGACAGCGTCCTTGACTAGCTGTTTGATCAGCCCGAGCAAAGTTACATACCAGCTTTCAACTGCTGGAAGGGCAGGGGCGTGAGTTTTCTCAAGTGCGTTCTCCCGGCCGGCTTTATGCTCGCAGGAGGACGTTGCAAACGGCTGGGGCCGCCGTCCCTTGTTAGGGAGAAACCCCGGCCCGCGCAGGGGTCTCCCTCAATGAGGAAACGTTCCACTTTCCCCCACTCGTCCCACTGTTCGGGATTTTAATCTGCTTTTGTGTCGCAGGAAGAAAGAAGATTAATTTTCACCCGTCTGTGAGGAGGGAGCGTTTCAGTGGAGACCGGGTTTGAAATGCTGCTTCTGTTAATTTCAGCACCCCCCCCCGCCCCCTCCACGCTGCCAGCAGGGTTTTGAGATGCAAAATTCTCAAAGGAAGAGGTAAATCGCCCCAGCCTTCTTAGGGTGCTAACTCCGGGGTCTCCATCAAGCCTTGGGCCTCCAGCATCTTGCGGTCCCTCTTGGTGGAGATGTGAGTTGGCACTCACTCATTTATACGTGTTTGCTCTTTCTTTCTTTCTTCCTTTCTTCTAACAGCAAGTGTGTCTTGCTTTTGCCAAAAGAAAAAAATTGACAGTGATTTTCAAGAAGCCTCCAGCCTGTCTGAGACTCTCACTCAGCACAGTTACAGATGGCGGTCTTACAGCGTGGGCAGAATTCGGTCTCATGAGAACACAGGCTCCTTTCACTGGGCTTCTTGATGTCGACCCCTGAACGTGGTCCTGCTGAATGCCTTCCAGGTGTGGGACCTGTGCTCAGCCTTGGGGGGTGTGGTGCGCGTTTGCATGCTGGCAACACAGACAAGATTTTAGAGGGCACGGGTGCTGTGATGAACGTAGGAAGCGAAAGTAACCAGCCAAACGCCAGGGTGAGAGGCTGGCCGGTACCTGGACGTGAGAACTCAGCTTGCTTACCAGGCCCTGCCTTCGAGTCAGGGAAGTCCACTGGGTCTTGGTGATATTCGGGCAGGACTTTTACCTCCTGCAAAGCGCTCTGATCCTGGCCCTGCCTGCAGAACACGTGGGAGGGACTGTGGTCCCCTTTCACGGATGAGGAAGGTGCGGCCCAGAGCACTGCCGTGACACCTCGATGGACACACAGCTTGTTTAGGGCAGCAACTTGAATGGGGCCCTGGGGCTTGTTCCAGGGCCGTGACCCCAGCAAGAGCAGGTCCCGGGTGGGGACACGGCTGTCCTCCTCGGCCCTCCCCCAGGGACCTCACCTGTGGAAAGGGGTCACCTGCTGGACGTTTTGTTAGGCGGTGATGCTGGTTGCTGCCTCAGTGCTTGGGCACGGGGTGCGGGGAGACTCCCTGGCCCTTTACAGTCCTGAAAATAACCCAGGTCCCCTAGTCCGACCTCATCGACCCAGGGCGGGAGCCTCTGCGTGCTGGGCTCTGCGAATCCTGGTAAACTGCAGCCCCCACCGACGGGGTGCTCGGATTGCCACGGGCTGCGTTCCCTGGGAAGGTGATTTAGCACGTGGCGCACCCTGGAGGAGGGGGAGTTGGAGGGGAGGGCAGGAGGAAGGAGGGGAGAAACCGAGAACAAGTGTGACTCTAGGCACGGTCGCGGGTCACCGTGCTTTTGAAGGGGCATTCTGGGTGCCGTGTGACCTTTGAGTTTGTCCCGGCCCCCGGCACGGGGTTGAGCTCTCACCCCCTCACCCCATGATCGGTCCTTGCTGAAGGACAGCCTGGGGGGGGCGAAACCCCGGGGGACTCAGATCCTCTGCACAGGGGCGGCCCCCGCAGCCAAGGACAGCCTCGGAGAAAAGTCATATCAGGAGCAAAGCACTGTGGGAGCCGGAGGTAAGGTGCGCAGACACAGGCGCCCCACCCCCGCCGCCACTGCTAACTGTGGGGCGATGAGTGTTTCCTCCCCGCCGACGGGGGCGCTCTCGGCACCCACTCCACGGGAGACTGTGGGCGTGCACGTTTATTAGCACCTCTGACCCTCCTCACGTGGGCGACAGCCGCCTTAGCCGTCCAAGGTCCCCTGCACCTGCATCAGGTGGGCCCTTCCAGGAGAAGGCGTTCCTGGGACAGCTGGACACTTCTGGGAAGGGGGTAATTCGCTTCCTCTCCTGAAGGGTGCACTGACCTTGGCCATCTGGGTAGGAAGGGGGAGGCCTCCATGACCCTGGACGCCACGTGACTGGGGCGATGTTGACTTTGTGTCTCTGATTGTGTGCTCACAGAGACTTTTATCCAAGGCCACCTTGTCCCTGCTGCTGGGTCGTGGGCTGCTGAGGACGGGCCCTGCTGCAGCGAGCGCCCCTGCCCCGGGCGGCCCCAGGACGCCCCCCGGAGACGCTGGCCTCGCAGGTAAGTGAGACGCCGCGGAGCTGGCTGCTTCCCGTCCCTGGCTTGACTGCTCTCCTCTGGACCTTCACTCCACGCGCAGGGGCGTTCTTGGGGAGAGGGGTCTTGGGTACGGTCCTGGGGACTTTCTGCAACATCCTGGAAGCCATTATCAAGTCGGCACATTCTGGGGGATGCTCTGATTACTGACGCCACGTTGGCCTCCCACGATCAGAATTCCCATGTGTGATGGACGGGAGTGTCAAATCTCCACGCAGGGCAAATAAACCCAGGGCTGAACGTTTCCCGAGAGTCTATTCCACAAAAGCACTGGATGCCTGGCCAGGACTACCGGCTGGCTGCTCTCTCTGCGGACGGAGGCAGAAAGGAGTGTTTGCCCTCAGAGGCACGGTGTGCTTTAGAGACAGCCTTGGCCGGTCGGGGTGATATCTGAGGTCCAGGGATGAGGGGCTTGAGGAAGGAGGCAGGTGGGGGCTCACTGTGGGTTTGGCCCACGGCAGCGTCCACACGCTCACGGGGTCATCCTATGAGACCACGAGCGAGCGCCGTCCTCCCTCCGCACTGCCCACCTTGGGCTGGGCTCCCTGTCAAAGCCTTCACATTCACTCCTTAGACAGAACCTTCCAGAAAGGCTGGGCGGGAGCACATTCTTATTTTGTAAGTAAAGGAGAAATTCAAGACCTGGCTCCACGTGGCCCACAGCCCTGGAGGCCCCGCAGCTTCCTCCCTGGCTCAGGACCTGGGGTGGACTATTCCCCGGTGAAAACACGGCTGGACCCAGCACCCGGCATGCAGGGGCCGGGCCGCCCGCCCTCTGGCTTGCACCCCTTTGTGTCCTGGGACCAGGGGTTCGGGGTTGGAAGAGGGGCCCAGGCTGTCTCCTCATCCACGGAAAACTTGACTACGAAAGATCAGAGATGAACTTGGGGATGGATGGCATCTGTGGAGGGGTGTGTGCCCTGGTGTGTGGCATACACGTGTGTGCATGGTGCACCAGCACATGCATGTGTCTGTGCTGTGTGTGTGTGTACATGTGTTCTTGTGTGTGTATGTGTGTACACGGCAGGCAGAGAAAGGCAGGCGGACCCTGTTATTTCAGAAATGCCGTGGGGACATCTCTGAGGGCATCCTGTTTGGGGAGAGGAAGGCAGTCGCCGCTCCATGCCCGGGCCCTGAGCTGGTCCTGTGTGACCATCGTCCTTCAAAGCAGACATTGTCACTTGCCTCTCTTTCCAATAAGGATCGTGTCCCGAGGGGATGAGCTGATTGCTTGGTCACGAGTCACTCAGCGAGTCTGTGATGGGACCCGGCTTGAGGCCGTGAGAGATGTGAGTGGACCACAGCAGGACTGACCCGTCCCGCCTGGCGTGGGTGTCGTCCAGGGCTCTTGGTCGGCCGGTGGCGGGGAAGGGGTGAGCTGGGGGTGGTCCTGGGCCCCAGCCCTTGCTGGGTATTAAGCATGTTCTCCTCCTGGGCCGCCTCATGGTAGCCTGCGCGCAACCCCGCACTGCTGGGAGGTGTGGGCCTTTGAGATGCTGGCGACCCCTGTGCTCATCAAGCTGTGCCTGGGGTCGCCTCTGGGCTCCGAGCGGGCTGATCTCACCTTCTCTCCCCTCTCCACCCCTTTCTTTTGCACAGCTCCCGCCTGCCCTCCCGCTGGGCTCCCGGCCCCTCCCGCCTGGCCTGCTGCTGCTGCAGGGACCCGGCCGCTGGACAGCGCCGGCCTCCAGAAGTGACAGCTAATTGGGGAGAGAAAGGGCCCGATTGTCTGGCGGGGCCGGAAGAGCCGGCGTGGGCGGCTGAAAGCGCCGGGAGAAGGTGGCCAGCTTCGCCCAGCAGCTGCCGCAGGAGACGTTTGGAGATTATGTCAGCGCTGGCGGCGGGGGGAGCCTCCCGCCCGGGCCCCTGACAATGCGGCCCTTGTCGGCCCCGAGAGCCGCTCGCTGGGGATGAATGGCGCGGGGCCTCTTCTCCAAGGAGGCTGTTCGGCGGCCCCGATCTGTCCTCTCCTGCCAGGGAGGCCCCTGGGTTGGGGCGTGGAGGGAACAGGATTGGTCCCTTAGAGAGGCCGTGGGCCTTGGAGACCCCCGGCTGGACTGAGCTCTCAGCCCAGGCTCCTGGCCGCACGGCCGGCACTTGGCAGAGAGGGGTTGGGAGTCCCGGGCTTGGCCAGGCTTCCGACTGACTGCACCGTGTGGCTGCTGCTCTGGGGGTGCTCAGCCTTGGCATGGCCTCCTGGCTTGGGGGGAGCATGGCCCCCGACCCGCTCATGGTCCTGCTGGTCATCATTCTGCTGGCACGCTTCATTCTGTGGTCCTGCCTCGGGACATACATCGATTACAAACTGGCCCGGCGGCAGCCCCGCAAACCCAAGGAGGACTAGGGCCTCTGTTGGCCAGTGTCCTGCAGCTCCGGGTGCCAGAAGGCCATCCCTCCAGGAGGGTGCTGTCCCAGAGTTGTCCTGTCCTGGGGCTGTGGGTGGGCGTGGGGAGGTGGGCAGCAAGGCATGTACACCACCACCACATCACACCCACAGGATGGAGATGGACCTGCCCCACCTGGACTGACCAGAGTTGTCCTGGTCACATTCCGTGCCCCATGTAGGGGAGAGAGGGCCCACCCCTGCCTTCCTGTCCACCAGGTTTTGAGATCCCCTGTTGAAGTGAGTGATCCTGGGGGTGGGTCTTGCTCTAAGACTTTCTCTGCTTCCAATTCTTTATAAATACTTTTGCTGGAAGAGGTGGGGGTGAACCGGGGGGTTGGGTGGGGGAGCGGCAAGGACAGATGTGACCACAAGACAGCCCTGCCATCAAGAGCCTCCCCCGACTCGGTCTCCTGCAGTGATAGGAGTAAGCGCAGACAGCGCCTCGGTTTCCCCAGAGCAGACCCTGGGAGGGTCTCAAGACAGATTGTGACTTTGAGTCCAAGTCCAGCTCTAGTTGATCTCTTTCGCCGTCTCTTAAACGGGTGTGATAGTCCCTGCCCCCTCCTTCAGGAGGTCAGCAGGAGGGTCAGGTAAGGGGTCAGGTGGGCCACCCTTTGCCCCCTGAAATCTGCAAACTGCCAGACACGTGGAGGACAATTCAGTGGAGAAGTCACGGGACCCAGGGCCCTCTGTTCCTCTGTGGCTGAGACAAGCCTAAGACAGACTGACAGCCGGGGCAACTTGACTGGAGCCCGCGATTCCAGTGCCCCTGTGCCCGCCTCCCACCATACCCGACTTAAGGGGAAGCATGTGGTGGCTCGGTGCCTCTCAACCTTGCGATAGATTTGAATCACTGGGAAATTTTGGCAACACCAATGGCCAAGCCCCCTAGACCGAGAATCATCGGCTGATTCAAGATGTTCCCGTGAATTCCGAAAGGACTTGGGTCAGCGTGGAGTCTTAGGTGGCCGTTAGTGGGCTGGAGTTGCTGAGCTGGGTGAGCAGGCACTCGGGCCCCCTCAGCTGGGAGCTACCCACTTTGCAGCGTCCTGGCAGAAGGGACCACAAGTGTGAGCCAGCGATGCGGCACTGCTGTTTCCATGGGAACCTTTGAACTCACCCGTGCAGAGAATACTCACCTGTTTTGCTCCTGAAGGACCTACCATGTTCAAGAGAAGCACAGGGTTTGGGCAGCTGGTCAGCTGGAGCAATGACCTGGGGGGGGGCCTGACCAACCAGAGAGGACTTGATGGTGAGGTGTCTGGGGGGCGATCTGCAGAGGGCTTGCATGAGAGTCTCTTCTTACCGTTGCCTGCCTGGAGAGCTGGCACAGGGTGGGTCGCTGTGCACTGGCTGGCTTGTCTGGGCCTGCTGGGCAGCTGGCCTCCGAGCAGTTGGGCTCACCTGTGGCCGAACAGAGCTCGGGTTGCCTGTGCAAGGACAGCTGGCCACGAGGTGGCTGAGGGCTCCGATCGTAGGGTCAGGGAGCGGCGTTCTCATTCTCTTCAGGGAAAATGCCTTCCAAATTCTTCAAACTGATCACGTATGATTTTGCTGATTTCTCTAAGGAAGAGGAATCACACTTACTGTCACGATTGTGTTCCGAGGGAGGGAGGGGGCCAGGCTTTCTGGTGTGCCCAGTACTGGCTGGTTTTAAATCTGAAAGTCCCACGGCCTGAGACACCCCTCCATCCTGGGCAAAGCAGCCCCTTGTATGGAGGGAAAAGTCAGACATTCACGTGACATGCCGGATTCTGGCCCGTTGCTGACTGTGTGTGACCTGCGTGTAGCCTGCATGTGACCCGTGTGTTCACGTGGGCAGACAGAACGACACCTCCACACACGCATGTGGTTCACCACTTGGTTCGTGGGCTGGAGTCCTGGGGCTGGACTGGGGAGGGCACATGCGCTTCTGTTGGGGCTGATGGCAGAGGGGATGGGGCTTAAGGCAGCTGCCAGTCTGGAACCACTGAAGAAGACAGGGCTCTGCCAACGTTATTTGAACTCCTTTCCAGTTACACTGGCCAATGTATTTCTTTTTTTCTTTTCTTTAAGCTGGTTTACATTGGCCTCTGTCACTTGCAACTGAATTTCATCAGAATTTCATCAAAATTGCTCCTCAGAGTACGAGCCCTCTGCATCCACATGTCAGCCATCTACAGCCTCATGACATGTATCTGACGCAGCATAGGTGTTCCAGCCACTGTGGCTGAGGGGATGAGCGGCGGTGCTCCGGCCCATATCGGCAGCAAGTGTATTCAGTTGCAAGTAATGGATACGTAGACAAACCATGGTTAAACAAGAGAAATTTTTTTTCTTTTTTCTTCCCAAGTGTAGCAAGAAGCCTGGCATTTGACATTCTCAGGTTGTAGGATATCAAGGACCTAGACCCTTCCATGTATCTGCTCTGCCACCCTTAGCATCTGGCTTTGGTCTTTGTGGTTACAAGAAGGCTGCAGCTACTCCAAGCATCTTGAGCAAGTTCCAGGCAGGAAGAGAGGGAGAGGTATCTACAACAGGGAAGCAAAGTTTCCCAGAAACCCTTAGTTTTACAAGTTATGAACTAAAACTATGTCACATGGTATCCTTAGATCCTGAGAAATGGTTCCTCGGCCGTTCTTTGTAATCGCAGTCTTTACACAGGACGCTATTCTGGATATTTGGGTATCTTCTGTGGCCCCTTTGTGTGCCAGCTCTGCCCTTGTCTGCTGTTCAGGTATAGCGGCTGTGCCCAGCTGTCCTTAGCAGCCCCACCTTGGAATCAGGGGCTGGAGCTTCTCAGGGCTCTTTGGGGGCTCCTAAAATTTTGTTCCAAAAGAAAGTCTAAGGAAGAAAAAGACCTGTGCCTTCTTAGAGAAGCATGGAGATGTTCCTTTACTCACAGCTGGCAGCAACAGCCTGCAGCACACACGAGGCAGGCAGCGAATAGCTGAGGGGTAACTGAGCAACAGTGACGGTCAGGAGATGGGTAAACCGAAGGGCAGTGGCAGTCATTAACCCAGTGAGCGTCACTGAGAGCTCGTAACCTCCCAGTGTGGGAGGCAGGGTGGACACAATGTTGAAAGCAGTGCCTGCCCCTCAGGTAGCTTGCAGTCTGAGAGGCAAGTAGTGGGCAGAGACTAGAAACAGATATTAGACCTCCTCTAGGTGCACAAGGCTGTTAGCCAGCCAAAACGTGGCCAGCGCAAATTGAGATATGCTGTAAGTACAAAATATACACCAGATTGTGAAGGCGTGGCTCAGAAAATAGTGTAAAATCTAATCAACAATGGCTTTCTATTGATTATGTATTGAAATGAGAACATTTTGGATACCTTTGGTTAAATAAAATCTTAAAATTAATCTCACCTGTTTCTTTTAATAGGTTTTAGTGTGGCTACTGGAAAATTTTAAATTACATATGTAGCTTGCATTATTTTTATATTGCACAGCACTGTGCCAGACTTTCATAATGTAGTGAAAGTGTCAGGGTAGGCGAGTGCACTGTGTGTTATAGGAATACAGGAAGGAGCTTCCTGGAGTAGGTTCTTAGGCGATAATGTCAATACTGCACACCGGAACCTGAGATACAGCTAAAGCAGTCCGTGAGGGAAAAGTCATAGCCTTAAATGCCTTTATTAATAAATAAGAAAGACTAAGACTTGAATTAAGCATATGACTCAATACATTTAAAAAGGAACAATAGAACAAAGCTAAGAAAAACGGAAGCAGAAATACAGACAAGAGAGGAAATCAACGTGTCGACAGTGATAGAATTAACAGATGCATCCAAGCCCCGGATTTCTTTCTTCTTCTTCTTTTAAATTGCCTTAAATACACATGGCATAAAATGTTCCATCTTTACCATTTTTAGGTGCACAGATCAGTGGTTTTTTGAGGGGAAAAAACCCAGCAATAAAAGGGACAGTGTTCGTCAACCCAATCGAGACAAAGGGAGAAGAACACACACACACAGGGAAAACGCCTGTGGGGAAATGACCACAGAGACGAGGAAAGTCTGCTCCCAGGAAACAGGTTCTGGTGAAGGGGAAGGGTTTTGAGGGTTTGAAAGCATAGGGAACACAGTTCATAAAAACGGACCTCAAAAGAGACATAAATCTGCACAAATGGATCACCCCAGGAGAAGCAAGAAGTTGTCCAGGCCTAGCATCCTTTAAAGAAAGCATAAGTGCCCAGAATGTTTCAGAGGAGAACCCCCTCCCCACACCAAAATGGACCAGGCACTTCAACGCGACTTAAACTGCCCTAGTGCATAAAAGAGGGGCAGTGCCCAGTGCTTCTCACGTAGTAGACACAGCCCCGATACCGACACCCGCCAAAGCTGGCGCGGAAAGAGAAAACACACACCAGTGCCGCTTAGGAATACTGGTAGAAAACCCCCGAACCACTGCATGAAGCGCCACATGAGAGAGATTAAACATGGTGACCAAGGGGAGCGGGTTTCAGAAATGCAAGGACATCGCTGGAACATGAGACAGTCAGTTAATATAATTTCCCTCATTAATAGCTCCAAAGAGAGAAAAAAGGATAACTTTGTTAGCTCTATTTCCAAAGGCATTTGGATAAAATTCATAACCAATCTCAACAAAACTCTGAATAAAACAGAAATAGGTAATGTACTGACGTCTCTTTAACGTGAAAAAATAGCTCTCTTGAAACAATTTATTTTCTTTGTTGGGGAGGTAGTTAGGTTCACTTACTTATGTTTAGAGGAGGTGCTGGGGATCGAACCCAGAACCTTGTGTGCGCTAAGCACGTGCTCCACCACTTGAGTTATACCCTCCCCCCAAAACACTTCTCTCTTGAGAGGAATGTTGACATCACGATCAATCGGGAAACACCAGCAGCGTCTCCGTCCCAGCCCAGAGTTGGGAGGAAGAGGCTCACGGTTGTCTGAATTTATTCTGGAGACGTAGCCAGCACACTTAGCAAGAGGCAGAAATTAGAGGTATGAGCCCTGGGAAGGAGAGGGCGCATCGTTATCTATACTGAGATGGATGATGGAGAATCAACTGAAAACGACTGACTACAGGACTCAGGAAAGCAGGTGGGTCCGGATCAATACGTAGAAACCACACACAGCAGTTTCTCAGGAGACGTGATGGCACGGAAGACCCCGCGTATCACAGCAAAGCGCGGAGCAGGGCACCGGAGCGAACTCCACGACGTGAGAGCGGCTGCGGGCAGCCGAGTTATTTCGTTTTGCCTGTTCTGCCATCCCCTTGGGCGCTCTGGGAGAGATTTGTTGTGGGCACGAGACCCTGGCAGTGTGGGAGCTGGTGGAGACACCCACACGAGGTCGGCCGTGGGGAAGGAAGGTGGCCGGGGCAGAGGAGGGTCAAACTGGACCTTCGAGGACAAACCCCACCATTTCCACCTCCCTTGCTCCCTACCTTGCTTCCGGGTGACCTGCGGGAGAAGCCGATGCCTTTCCCGTGCTGCTGACGATGCTCGTGGCCTGGGGCTTAGAGAAGCCGGGACACCAGGGCGTCTGAGGCTGGACGTGGACCCTCACAGCTCCAAACCGACAGCCCCTCCAGAGTGGCCGCCTGGGCTGTGTGCTCTGACACGCGCTGCTACCGCTTAGCCAAGATGGCACAGAACAGAGACACCATCAATTTCGGGGGACGGCAGAAGGGTGCTTACATGCAGGGTGGCTAATTGTCTCAGGACTAAGAGGTCTGGGGATTCCGGGGACATGGGATTGCTGGGCTAAAATCAGGAGGTCTGGGGCAAAGTGGGCTGGCTGGTCATCCTACTTCTGAGACTCTCTGGGTGGGAAGGAATTAGCCTGCCCAAAGGGAGTGCGTCTCTGTGCGTGGGGAGAGCAGGACAGGGAGCTGAGGCTTTGAGAAGCAACTCCCTCGTCCCATTCTTGTCCCCCCTGCCCCCGGTGGGAGGTGACAGGTGCCACTTTGGGCGGTCGCCTCTTCAGCAAGTACCTCCTGGGCATCCTGAGACTCGTTAATTTGGAGGAGCAGGTGGGTGGGAGTGATGGCCTCCCTGCCCAGCCAGGCGCCCCCCGCCCCCACCCCGCCCTGGCCTGTGAGCAGTGCTCAGCCTCAGCCAGCTCCCCCGAGAGCAGCCGGCAGAGCCTCGGTGGTGGAGATGAGTCACTGGTTCTAAAAATAAAAAGTTCAGTCCTTCAGGGCGTGTTTCCTTTTTAAGCCAGATGTGTCTATGCAGGGATCCCCAGAGCCTGGTGGGGAGGGCCGAGGGCCCTCAGCAACGTCCACAGCCTCGGGCCGTCAAGGTGGGGGGCTCTCTTCCATTCGCTCACACCCACCTGCTGGTTTTAGCCCCTGCCCAGGCTCGGCTCTGGGCGGGATGGATGGATGAGGCGGCTCCTGCCTCGGTGGCTCTCAGTTTAGTGGGGAAATAGCTGAAGTGTATATAATGCCCACTTGGGGCAGAGGCCCTAAGGGCTATTTGCCACGGGGCAGAGTGTCACGGAGACACGCCCAGGGGAAGGGACATTCGTTCTCCTTCAGAGTCTGGGGAAGGCTTCCTGGAGGAGGTGTCACTGGAAGTGGGACTTGGGGGATCCTGCCAGGCAGATAGGGGAGGAATTGTGTTTCGGGGAGAAGGAATAGTCTGAGCAAGGGCCCAGGGGCTGGGGTGCTCGTGGCACCTTTGGAATCTTCAACAGTTCTTCTCAGATCCCCTGGATACACAGACAGATTCTTGGGCCCCCGCCGAGCAGCTACATTTAAATCTTTGAGAATGGGGCCCAGAAATCAGGTAGCAAGCTACCCCGGGGAAGCTTCTGGGTCTTCCTGTAACCTGAAATAAACAGGCTCTGAGCACAGGCTCTGTTCTGAGGGCTTTGCAGAAGATGGTCCTGTCCCCATCTTGCAGACAGGAACCTGGTCCCATTGAGGGCAAAACATGTGTCCAGGTCACATGGGGAGAGAAGATATGCAATTCAAACCCAGGTGTCCGCTGGCCCCGAATGTGCACCTGGATGACCAGCTCCCCCAGAGGCAATGTGTGCAGCCCTCACTCCCGCATCTCTGCCGATTGGAGAACCATTCCCGGCACCTCCAGCACCCGGTCCTGATGTTTTCTCTGAGAATTTCCCCAAAGGCACCTCAGATGGGAGAATGCAGTGCTGATTTGAACCCAACTGACTTGTAGATACCCCCCAAATGAGTCTTAATTATGAAATGAATCTAAATTATGTTCTTATACAAGATAACAACTGACAAGCTCTGGGGACCATACTTGAAACATCAGAAAGGGATGGTGAAGGGACACTCCACTAGACACTAGTGGAGGCAGTGGATGGAGGGAGACAAAGCTATTGTCTGTTCTGGGCTCTTTGTTACACAGCTTTATCCATATCATAACTGGTACACTCTTTCAGTAAACTGCTATATTCAACCTCCTTGTTCGTAAAACAGACCCCGGCTGCCTGGTCTACTGCATAGAGAGTCAGGAAGTGCCAAAGACATGGACACACCCTCTGCGATGCTCTTTTCCCTAAGGCATTCCTTCTTTTCCCTTTAAGCCTTCGAGGCCAGGACCCATGACTATGGCCTAATACTCTGTTCCATTTCCATCCTTCTGAGAAGAATTTGCTGCATCCTGCCTGCCAAACAAACCCTTTGGACTTCAGCTGGTCTTGTCATGTCCTCAGAGGGACAGAAATTAGCAGGAGAATCAGAGAAAAATGGCCACCCTCTCCCACCTGCTCCATCTTCTCACCAGTGATAGTGGGTGGGGGTGGCCATGGAGGAAATACGTGCGGGGAGCATTGTATTCGATGTGTGGGTGGGTAGCCTCATGTTTCAGAATCTAGCAAAGCCTTGTGCTCATGGAAGTTTGCAGCTGGCCCAGGTGGGCTCGTCCGTTCTTGGAACCAGTGTGGGCTGGGAGCAGGTGAGGATGGGGCGGCCCTGAGGTCTTGGGATCGAGTGAGCTGTCTCCAGCTGCTCTAGCGATCCTGAGGAAGGGCAGGCAGATGGATGATCCTAACACAGCCGGCGGCAGCTTCCTTGAGATGCCTGCAGGGCTGTCCCTCCCAGCTGTCTTCACCCACATCCGTGGGCCTTGGCCCCCAAGGTATCTGGTGAGCACTCACCCATGGCGGTGTGGACAGCTGTGATTGTGGCCTCACCCAGCCCTAAGCACGTGCCTGTCAGCCCACACCTTCCCAGCGGATTGGCCAGCAGAGGGGGAATGAAAACCTTCCAGTCCATCCTCAGTTCCCAGCCCTTTGCAGGAAAAACACCCAATAGAAAGGTAACATATCCTAAAAACGAGACGTCAGGATCAAGGGAAAAGAGACATCAAACAAGGAACGAGGTGGGCGCAGGAAACAGGCCGTCTCCACGCTTGCT